GAAGGGGAGGGTAACCCTGGATGTAGGATATGACGTATTAGTATGCAGTTTGAACTTCATCGGGAGAGTAAGACAATAGCGCCCGTATTTGACGGATGCAGTTACACAGAAGATAACGATTCAATATTTGTTTACTTGTGATTACAGGTACTAGACCACGAGACGGTAACACAGAGGCACGAGATACACCACAAGTCCTATCACTTATCTCAACGTATTACACGTGCTACACGAACCTGAACAGTCTAGATTTCGCGTTGTTACTGCACCGGAATATTTTGCATGTGTGATACCCCAAGCATTGCCGAAAGTCTTCACATGCATGACGCCCGTTTCAACCCATCATCATCAGTCACTTTGATTGACTAGCCTCGAAATGCACACACGCGAAAAGCCGCCGTGAGCGCCGTCTAATTCGATGTCCCGCATCTCCACACCCCTGCCTGCATCGTGAGGAACAAAGAGAAAAAAAAGCAGACAGAGAGAGGGAACCCTTGTTTGGGGGGCTCAGACGGAGGGGAATGGCCGAAATACCGACGACGTGGAGGAAAACATATGATGGTGATGATTAAATCATAAAAAATGGAATTAAAAAGGGGAAATTAAAAACAGAGCAGGTCATGAAATAGGAGAAAAGCACGATTGATCGAAAGTCATCGTGATATTGAACAAAGTGATGTCAATTGACTGCCCCAGAGAAAAAGAGAAGAGAATTGTGGAAAACCTGGGGTGTTAGGTTCTGGAGGTAACACTGTTTAGTGTTGCACTACGTTAGAGGGGAAAAAACCACAGTCTGTCTAGTCCGTCTGCTTTCACAGTGACCCACGATGCAGAGAGAGTCGACGTCAGAGGTGGGATTGACACGAAAACGGTTGACATGAAAAGAAATATCCACTTTTTTGCACGGATCGAGGAGTATCTAGATGATTCTAGGTTTAGTCATTGTTTCTACCTTATTTACAGTATATATCTCGTGAAAAGAATCCTCAAGATAATGATAAGTCAGGGTAAATACTGTAGTCGTGGCGATGCTGATGAGAGTACCCTGAAAATGAAAGCATGTGGCGTGAGACAGGGTCCCTTTTCCGTTCTACCAGAAGAGGCACTTTTCGGGCAGAGGTGAGGTGAGGTTACATGCATGCAGAACCCCCTGTGCGAACACCCTGTAGAGCGCCGGATAACCTCCGTAAGGCAGTGGAGGCGGGCTTCACCAGTTACGGTCGGTGAAACGGTAGAGGGGGTTGATCCACATTGGTGAGGTCGGGTTGGTTCGTTGATGTCCAGTGGCTTGTATTTGTTTGTCAGCTTATTGGAGGCCTGTTGAACAGTTGTCATGTATGGGTGAGCATGTTATTGATCTGTCTACTCTGTGTCTTTCAACTGACGAGATATGGATATTGGTTCGGCGAGGCTACGGTGTAATGATAACAGTGAGAGAGACAGTATCCAATGGATCTTCGCTGGGATGGACACGGGCTAGAGTGTCGGATGGTTGTTTGACAAACAGACGGCGCCAAGAATAAGAGTCAGAGTGCTGAGGTCACAGAGAGTCCACTGTACCGATGATGGCATGGTACAGGTACTGATACAACCGTAATGTACTGTACTGTAGGGGCTGTGACTGTGAGTGAGTCTGGGCTGGGGGCTGTACTTGGCATGAGTCTCCACTTGCCCGGGTTGAACTCAAACTTGACTCGGTGGGACCTGCCAGACCAGACCGGACCCATAACCCAGTTTGACCAGGGCAGGAACGACACAGTACAGTACTAGAGTACGTACCATGATGGCATCAATGGGTCCCTTCCCGTCATCGTCACTCACCCTCACCCTCAAAGAGACAAGGAGGGTGGATGGATGGCTTTGGTCTAGACATCCATATAAACTCGTCTTCTCCCCCCTCGATACGGTCACCGTTTTCATCCATTCCATTCCATCCATCACCACTTTCAACTCCTAAACAACTCTCTTCTATCGCTTCCTATTTGAGGCATTCGCACTCTTACATCTGAGACTCTCTAACATACTCACTCCCACTTACACATCAACCCCACACAACCGCAATCATGGGCAAGACTGCTGTTCACTTTGGCGCTGGCAACATCGGTATGTCTCTTGTCAACACACGCTCTAACCTCTTATGCTAACTACTCAGGCCGTGGCTTTGTTGCCTGCTTCCTTCACAACTCTGGCTACGATGTCGTCTTCGCTGATGTAAACGACTCAATCGTCAACCAACTCAACAACACTCCCTCATACCGCGTCATCGAAGTCGGCTCTGAAGCTACCGTCGAGAACACCATCACAAATTACAAGGCCATCAACTCGAGGACACACGAGGAGGACCTGATTGAGACCATCCGCACAGCTGAGATCGTCACTTGCTCAGTCGGTCCCAACATCCTCAAGTTCATCGCCCCTGTCATCGCTAAGGGTATCGACCGCCGATCAACAGAAGAGTCTCCCCTGCATGTCATTGCCTGCGAGAACGCCATCGGTGCCACTGATACCCTTGCCGAGCACATCAAGAACAACACTGATGCCTCTCGTCTTGAGGACCACCACCTCCGAGCCCGATATGCCAACTCTGCTATTGACAGAATCGTTCCCGCTCAGGACCCCGATGCTGGTCTTGATGTGACACTCGAGAAGTTCTTTGAGTGGGTCGTTGACCGCACTCCCTTTGAGGATGTTGGCATCCCCGACATCAAGGGCATCAACTGGGTTGACAACCTTGCGCCCTTCATCGAGCGCAAGCTCTTCACTGTTAACACTGGCCACGCCACCGCTGCCTACCACGGTTACAACCGAAGAAAGCGCACTGTCTACGATGCTCTCCAGGACAAGGACATCATGGCCGAGGTTCGCGGTGCACTTATGGAGACCAAGAACCTGATCGTCTCCAAGCACGCTATTGACGAGAAGGCCCAGGCTGATTACGTCGAGAAGATCATCAAGCGAATTGGCAACCCCCATCTTGAGGACGCCGTCGAGCGTGTCGGCCGTGCTCCTCTCCGAAAGCTGTCTCGCAAGGAGCGATTCATCGGCCCTGCTGCTGAGCTGGCTGAGAATGATCAGCCCATCAAGTACCTCCTCGACGCCATCGAGATGGCCTTCCGCTTCCAGGATGTCCCCGATGACGAGGAGTCCAAGCAGCTCGCCGAGATCATGTCCGAGAACGGCCCTGAGGACGTTGTCAAGCAGGTCTGCGGCATTCAGGACAACGAGAAGATCTTCCCTCAACTGGTCAACGTTGTGCAGCGCGTCCAGGCCGACAGTGCTGAGGAATAAGTGATTTTTCATTCGGTGCGATTAACTAGAAGAGATGGAGCCACGGGTATGAAGTGGCATGGCATGGCGTTTTACGAGATATGACATACAATTTGCTTCAATGGCAGCATGGCGCAGGAAGGACTGGGATTCAATTCGAGCCTAAGGCATGATTATAGATTGATAGCACTGAATAAATCGGTTGCTCAACTAATTTTGTAAACAATGCGATGTGATTACTGTGATGTGTGATTGATGTGAATGGAATAGAGAGATAATGGAGAGTGACTAGCTAGACTGGGTAAGGAAATAAAACTTTGGACCTTAATCCTAAATGATAAGAAGATTTGGGTAAACTTAGGATAAGTTTAGGATAACTTTTGCAGAGTTTATTTTGACACCGTGAATCAAGGTCTGATGTTTTCTTGCTCTCTTAAGGGCTGGGAATAGTGGCAAGATGAGGCATTTGTCCATCGGGCCTTATGGCATTAATTACGGCCCAACATGACGATGTCTACGTCGACATGCCCAATTAATTAATCTCGTCAAATGCCAATTGTCGCATGTCCTACCCTGCATCTGTACTGATATCGACGGAGATCGGATGTTGCGTTCCCCTGTAGCAGCCGGGATCATATCTCGATACATCGCCAACGGAGATCCGATCCCGTCAACAATGCCCGAAACAAAATTCTCATTCGCTGTGACTTTTTCTGAGGAATGACTTCCCATTCGCTGTGAATACTCTGAGGCATAACCTTTATTTGCTATGATTGTCTGAGGCATACGTCGTTATCATGAGATGGAATTCGGCCCAGTTCCCTGGACAACTCCACTAAGAGCCGCTAGCACGACCCCTTTTTAACCTTAGAACCGTCCGATCGGGAGGTCCGTAATCTTGCATCAGGCCACGCTTTGCATACCCACACCAACCAACCTTGATCGCCCCACGGTTATACGATATCCAAGAGAAGAAGTCGTTTATACGAAACGGAAAACCATGCTCAGAGCGCTGTGGCTGGCTGGCCTGGCCACCGCCTCAATCACCATCCAAGTCCAACGCGTCGACCCATTGCCCTTCACCGCGTCAGGTATCGCTACATCAGCTGTAGATCTATTCTCGCGGAGCTGTCCAGAAGAAGCCGAGAACACAGCCTCAATACTCGCATCATCGTTTGATGATCTGTCAGAACGAAATGTATTCCCCTCGTCGGATGGGTTTGTGAGGGGTGCTGTTGAGGCGTGGGCTAAGCACGAGCATCTAATCCTTCGCCCTGATGAGATCTGGTTCGAGGTTCTGGCGCAGATGAATGTGTACATGAGTACGCACTCTGAAGCTCTCCGGCATTTATTCGTTGATCACGCTGGGCGCGAGAAGATTACAGTGGAGGGTTCTTCGTGGGAGAGTATCATTGGGGCGTTTAGGGGGGAGGTACAGAGGAGGGTTAAGACGGGGTGGTTGTTGGATTGGATAAAGCCTGGTTTTAGCACCTCGACTGCCCAGGATGACGTTACGGCTACGGTGTTGATGATGGGGCTGATGCAGCATTTCTTTGAGTATGAGGGCATGATGGTATGTGGAATACCGAGTGTTACGTTACTTGGGGAGAGGGAGGATTGGGTTAAGCTGGGGGAAAAGGTAGAGAAGTTGAAGGAGTTTGGGGATGAGGCGGGGGGATTTGCGGAGAGGTTGAGGCCGATTATGAAGAGGTTTGTTAGTTCATGGGATGTTGATACTGATGGAGGTGAGAGTGATGGGGAGAGGAAGTTGTTTTGGGAGCAGATTGTTCGGGCGAAGAAGAAGTGGTCTTGTGGTGAGGGGGCGAGTGAGTGGGATGTCTCAGGGTGGATTACGGGGTTTATGTATTGGGATCGGGACGGAAAGGTTAGGGGTGTTTATGAGGACTGGTATGATAATTGGGACGAGGATGACGAAGAGTCCGCAGAGAAGGTCGAAGAGATCAAGAAAGAGGCCGAAGAAAAGAAAGAGGAGGTTCAGATGGGCATCTTCCCCCACGACTGGTCCCTCACAATCGACGGCCAAAGCTACATCCCCATCACCCTCTCCGACATCAGCATCGGCTACGCCAAAGCGCCCCTGACCATGAAGAACTACCCCTCAGAAGGCGTCGACACACCAGCGTTTCTCGTAGCAGGCAACGTCGGCGTGGAGAAGAGGAATACACCCGGGGGAATTATGGCGCAGCCTGTGAGTGGGTGGTTTGTGTATACAGGTGTAGAGGCGAACTATAGTGCTGGGCCGTGGTTGGGGAGTGGTGAGGAGCTGGGAGGGATCGCGGAGGGGATTGTGAGCTGTAAGGCTGCGACGGAGAATGATAAGGATGCGGTCAAGGAGGGGGAGAAGAAGGAAGAGAAGGAGGAGGAAGTAAAGGATTTATAAATGTAATATTAATGAGAGTAAGAAGAGAAGAATCAGAATGGACTAGTATAAGAGTTACGCGGGAAATACAGGCTTGGGAGCTTTCCATCCTCGACAGCAGAAGCTGGGCATGTCGTGCATTTTCTTTCCGAGAAGGCCCCAGGGTGGATCACAGCCGTTTAGCTTTTGTTTCCATGCGTCTTCGTTGAATTGGTAGTAGTTGCCTGATGCTAGTTAGGATGTGTTCTGAGATAAAAAAGGGAGGACAGGGATGAACAGGGATAGGGAGGGGGAGGGGGAGGGGAGACTTACCATCTTTGCAGGCGCAGAGACGAGGAAGACAGCAGTTGTTTGGCTTGGGGATTACGCTGATACCGTTAGCGGTTGACATTGATGTTGCAAGGATGCTGGAGATCAGTGTAGAAGCTGGGACTGAAGCAGAGGTTGAGAGATGGGCTGGGTTTGGACTGATGACATGATGTAGAGAGGAAGAGAGACATACTAGTGATAACAACCACTACTAGCCTTCTCAGGAACAGGTTTGAGAACAACCGGCTCAGGAGGAGGAGTAGTAGCCGCGAGTGCGACAAGTGTCAGTGTAGCGAGCGTGAGCTTCATTGTTGCTTTGAACCAGAACGGCATCGAAGCAGCGGGGAGAATGACACTTCATATAGTTAAGACGTCATGGCTTGGGCGGTTTGGGATCGATGTGAGATGAGTTTGGAGAGAGTGTTGTATTGGAGCAGTGGACGCACGGTTGCTGGAGAATTGGGAGGTTCTTTGTTGGCTTGGGTTGGAAGCAGGGTGGATATCAGGGAATGGCATGGGAATGGGACGAGGTGCTTTGTCTGTTCTATTTTGGAACCGAGAGTGCCTGAAATAGAACTGAAAGGATAAATGCCTTTATTGGCAGTGGTTCTTGTGATATGAGTGAGTGTCACTAGGTGTCCTTCACCAAGATGGAGGAGGGACAGCTGGCGATATTACTTCAATCGACTCCGCTACCATGCCTTCCGGACTTCGATCTTTAGGCAGTCGCTGCTGGCTCTGGAGTCAAAGAGAATGTGAAAGAAGCCAGGTGATTACAGCTCAGCTCAGATGCGATTGGATCTGTTGTTTGGCAGGAAACTGAGCTTGTCCATGGCCCAACTTGGTGCGACGGCATACTCCCAAGGAAGGGATTGACAAAGAGAAGGGTCACATATACAGAAAGAGCATGCTGGAGGAGCGTCAGAGCTGTATGGACGGGTGCTGGATCAGAGAAAGCTGTCTTGGATTGACATATGGAGGGACGAGGTGCTGCCCGGGAGATGACATTGAGCGTGGGCTCATGAGGGTGACTGGTGTATGGAAGAGTATTTGGCTGGACCGTGGGTTCTAGAAAAAGAGAGCAAGGAGCGAGGATTCAGAAGAAATGGAAGAGTTCACAGTGCAGTTGAGCATTGCTCTTCCTCGGAGACAGCCCAGATGTTGAGAATGTATGAAACAATTCGCTGTCGTATATCGTCTACCCATATCTCCAAAGAATGTCTTTAAAGAATGACTTGTAAACTATCACTTATTCTCGTGCTTTGAGCTCTCGGGATTCTCATATCATGGTTACTGCCCCAATCTTTTGCAATATCTGAAACGGAACTCGGTCACTGGGAGAAGAGGCTAACTTGTCGGCGTATCCTGTAGATCATGTCAGATGACTCGTATGAGAAGCCAGCACACCTTGACTCACATCGTGAACGCTTCAGTCGAGCCCCGAACCATCAGAATCATGACTGCCATCTCTAATTTCTCTAAATGCCATTAGTGTCAATACAAGCCCCCCTCAATGGATGGATGACTTACTGGTGGTGCTGGGTATGGGGCCGCGGAACCTAGACAACGATCCATAGCGCGCGACCATGCGGTTCCTCCACATCGACATCGAATTCAGTCCCATCAGGATAAACCAATGACCGAATTCTGTGCAACATACTAAGTATAGTGTCCCTAGTGGCGTAGAATGAAGTGCCGTCTCGCATTTCGTCTGCGCTCTCGAAGTCGGCGAAGTGGTTAGTGGGAGGGTCGTCGGGGTGTGTGTTATTGACGACTATACGCAACTCGTCGTTGGGTTGGAGAATCACATTGACTCTCAAGAATTGTGTTTCTCTGTCTGGGGTTCGGGGACGGGGCGCTGACAATTCGCCGTTGGGTTGGAGAATCACATTGACTCTCCGGATTTGTGTGTCTGCGCCTTGGGTTTGGGGACCCGACGTTGAACTTGCTGTACGGCGACGGCGACGTAGACGGCGACTTATACGGCGACCTAGACTTTCACAGTGACGCCTGAAACTCATTGTTGATTCACTGGGACGGATTAGGAGGGTAAGATTCTGGCTGTCAACCGTGGATGAGTTTTTGCTATGATGATTTAAAGAGAGATTGATGATGAAAGTGATGAGAGAGAGAGAATACGACAAGACTTTGTGATTTGACTGAGAACAACCAAGGTAAGGTGCCTACCAACCTAAGTTCCAAGTGCGACCTTTCACTCGGAGGATATCATGAAAGAAGGAGACATTCAGTTCCGGGTCCTCTATTGCCAGTATTTCCTGCCTCCATAAAGTTCCACAATCCTTAAAAACCACTTCCCCGAGAGTCTCATGACCCAGTGTCGGTATGTCTGGTGCAGTAACGACTGTCGAAGGGCCTGTGAGGGCAAAGCTGCGTCGACAGAGCCTCTGCGAACGGTTAGCATTGAGCAGCAATTTGGGGCGCGACTACTAACCTCCTCTCGAGAACGAGTCGTACTGATCCCTTTTATGCGTCCAAAACTCCTTCCGCGCTCATTTGTGCTCACAAGAGGCCCCTTCAAAGGTGATGCCAGAGTTTGGCGTCACTCAGACCAGCCATTTCGAACCCTCAGGACCCAGAACACCATGAAGCCGAGGCACAGCCGGACAAGAAGAAGTATATTCCGAAGGAGGTTCCATCCAGTTCCATGGCAGATAACCTCCCGGGTTGCTGATGATAATAAAACTCAAGGGTTCAATGAGTGACAATAGGGGCATTTGGTGGAAGTTGACGAATCCAGTGCGAATGTCCGACACGTACATCAACATCTCGGGATGCTCTTCTCCCAATTTTCCAAGGATCCAATCGTAGAGATCGTGCAGGCTATCATAACAGCTGACGTGTGCGGCCCAGTTGTTCAGGGTGCCAGGTATTCGGGCGCAGATGTCAATCTGTGGGCCATCTTTGCGAGGGTTCCGGATGAGGAGTTTGGGGTCAGTTGAGATTTCGACGGCTGGAAGAATGCGTAGCAGATTGTAGGATGGAACACGGGGACGCCAGTAAGAGGCGCCTGCATCATCCTGGCTCGTGTCGCCCTGGGGGGTGACATATCGAGTGGCTTCAGCTTGAACAGGCGCATCCGCCTGGGGAGCGCGACTCGCATTCTGTGCACCGATGTTTTGGCTGGGAACTTTGGAGAGCGTTGGAGCGTCATTTTCTGCCTTGGCAGGGCCGGGGACCGCGATGTTTTGTAGTTCATTCCCTTGGGCACGGCGCAGAGCCTTCCTGCGGCGACGTTCCGCGCGTGACTTGGTGCGCTTGGTAGGCATGCTGTCAGGGTCGCTGATGTTGACGTTGAGGATTCTTATGCCGGTGTTGTGATGAGAAGAGATTGAAATAAGAAGAAAGAGGGAGCAGAGGGGACTTGGATGGCTGCGAGGTGTTGCTGACGGCTGTCGGCAGTGCGAAGACGGAGGGTGTAGGATGTGAACGCACTCGGCCATCCTCACGCACACAGAGATATTGAGGGGTACGCTTCAACGGGCCTAAATGTCGTATATTGATCCTCCCATTATTCCTTTCTTATACAATCTGTGTGAGCCCTCTGATGTGCCTTCGCATGAGATGTCTTGACAAACTGTTCCAACTCTCAAAGCTGAAGGTACCGCGACAGAAATAGGAGAACAAGCCAAAACATCTTCAAGCAATATCGCGATATACGTGCCATGTTCATGCCTCATCCGCTAATGCAATCTCAGTTCCACGCTGCATCCTTCACTCCCTCACACACAAAACCTCAATCCCGACAGCCCTCCCAAACGCAACCAAACCCTCCTCACTAATCGGCTCAGCAAACACCAACTCCCCTTCCCCGCGCTCAATCCTCTCCTCTACGTTCCCACAAGACTTAGCCATGATAATCGACCATGCGCACTCACCCCCCGACGGCCCCCTCCGAAAGCACGACAGCGTCATCCCCGGCGTGATCGAAGGCGTACGATCTGTATCGCTTCCATCTGGGCTAGCGGCTAGTCTGGCGAGCCATATGTTTCGCGGCCTGGGGACTCGCCAGCAGATGTTTACCTGAGGTCCTGAAGTATCGCAGTTGACGACGTAGAAGCCGTGTGAGGCGATGATGCAGGCGCGGGAGATTTGGGTTAGGCGGGGACTGGAGAGGATGGGGGCTGAGCCGTCGTAGATCGATGGGGGGATTTGGCTCTGAGGTTGGGTTTCTTGGGATTGTTCTTGGTGTTGCTGTTCTTCTTCGCGCCAGCGATTGCGCGCTCTTTCAGAGAGATTGTCGACGCGAATGAGACTGACACAGTCATCAAAGATGACCAGACCACTTCGCGGCAGCTCGTCAACGACGTTGACTACAGTTTCTTCAGTGCGCGGCTCATCTTCCATGTCAGGTGTATCATCTTCAGAGTGTCGAGGACGGCCTCTGATTGTTGGAGTGTCCGGTTGATCAGCGTCGTGCTGATGTTCGTGAAGATGATGATGTCTTGCCATTTTTTTGCGACTTATGTTGAGTTATTGCAGTGTTGGAGCGCGAGAGGAATGAATGACGAAAGATATAGCTTGTGGTGGGACGTGAGATGACTTGATCAGCTGCCATTTCCGCTGACACGAGGGTGAGGCTGTCACTTTACACTTGTGAATCATTACACGGGATGCACAGTTTCACACAGTGACTTGATGATTAAGATCGTTTCTCGTGCATTTTGTTACATTTCCATTCTTTCGTTCATGCCATTCCTCTGCCATCGCTCTTTCATATCCCCTTATGGACCGGATATGCATAACCTCGCACAACCTCGAATCCTACAAGTCTACCCAGAGTAGACATATACCCATCACTTGAACCTGTACAGACAACGTGACCATCTCCACGCTCGAATTCATCGTGACTGCGATCGCTAGAACTGCACAAGATCATAGAGATCGTGCCTTCTGCATCCGCAGGTGACATTATGAAGGTGGTGAGACCAAAGCCCGGCTTTCTCTCAGCGCCCATCAAAGACATGATGGCCTTGAGGGGTTCACCAGTAGGATCGCCGATTCTTCCGAGCCATAGGTTTCGCGGGCCGGGAACGCGATAGCAGATGTTGACTTGTGGACCCGATGGGTCGCAGTTGAAGACACGAAAGGCTTTGTCTGAGTCGATGACGAGGGCCTTGTCGACGATCGTTATGTGGTCGCTCTTTTGAGTTCGAGTAGCACTGTTGCTGGCTTCCCCGCGAGAAATGGGCTGCTCGGGGTTGGCGCTGGTTCTGGCCTTCTTTCTCGGGGGACCTTCAGAATGATCTTCGTTGTTGGATTGAGGATTTGCCCAGCGAGCCTGAGCTTTGGCGGATTGGGCGTCGAGGTTGAAGATGCTAAAGTAGTCATCAAATACTGCAAGGCCAACTCTGCTCGGGTCGCCGAGCTTTGTGAGAGGCTCATCCTGCTGGACTGGGCTGGGAGAGCGATCCTTGGGGGTTTGCTGGTCTTCGGTATCACCTCTCTCACTGCGCTCCTCTTCATTCCACTCTTCATTCCCCTCCTCGTTCTCCTCTTCATTCTCCTCTTCATTCCCTTCCTCCTCATCTTCAGCCAACGCCTCGTCGTTTTCGTGATCGGCCGCCTCTTGGTTCAGACCCTCATCGTTTTGCGGGGCATTCGGAGGTATACCAGGCGGGAAAGGGTAGGTGTAATGATAGTGATAGTGATGATGATGATAGTGGTAGACGTGTTGCTGGTCCATCTTGATGCACCGACTTGACGCAGTCGGGATCAACTATCGTCGCGCTCTTGAGTGTTGCCGCGTTGCGATCGTGAAAAGCGCGAGGCCAGCTCTTGGTGTTGATGTGACCGATGACATTGCTGGCCGGCATTTGCACTGAGGCTGTCACTTGGGGACTGTGAATCACTGCCTGCAAATGACACACTGCCAGACAGTGATGCCTCCATTTTGGACGCCTTTAACATGATCATATAGATGAGCCGTAATAGATTAAGGATAGGAGGGTCCTAATGAAGTGAAGCCTGATGCCAAATACGGCATCGTTGTGTTGAAGATGTGAGCTGACGGTCGCATTCTCAGTCAACGTCAACACCACGGGCGCTCGCAACTGCAACAACCACCATCGCGATCAAAATGCAGTAAAAAAAAAAAGACCGAAATAAAATTCGTCATACTCGTGAAGGTTCTGATCCAATTCTCAGTTTATGAAGTCGACGTTGATCATCACGAGTGGCGATTTTCCCCAGCTTCGATCCCCTCTTCAAAAACGTGCATCTAAATTCCTCCCCCAGACCCCAAACCTCCGCATCCCATCAACTTAACCTTGTGCAAGCAAAACAATGGCCCAGGAGCTGGAGCTGGAGAAAGTCCCTGCTTCTCGGTGTAAAGCTCGGCGAAAAAGAGACTCCATTGTGGGTGAGATAAAAAGGGTCCACGAGGTGAAGAGTGACACTTTTAATACTGGGTCGCTTGTCACAGCTTTAGCACGTCAGTCAATTAAGGTCATTAACGAACGCAAGAAAGCATTATACCTTATAATACGTGTCATTAAAAGGTACCCTTAACTTGTATTATATCTATGCTAAATTCACCTGTCTTTTGTCGGTTTGAATCGAGGTCCTGAGCCTCACCAAAACAAGGATATCAGTCTCACCAACATCGTCATCTTGGCAAACATGGTAAACCCTCATTATGCCCGCGTAAACGCTCGGCTAACTCCCGTTCTTGCGCCGCTATCCGCCTGCCAAGGCATCTTTTCTCCGTCGGAAGGATCGCCAAGAAGCAGCGGTTCCGAGATTCCAATTGGCACGCATCCAATGCCCTACATAGAAGTTGGCTGGAAGATGGATGGCTGTTGGTGGTGGTGAGATTGAGATTAGTTGCGGCTTAAAAAGCTGACGAATCTGAATGAAACAAATGCGCATTACCAAAAGAAGCAATCCGAGAGTCAACAGAAACAGATGTTGGAAGTTTAATTGCGTAGAGGGATCGGCGTATACGACAGTCTTGAGTAAGGGAGTGTGGATGATCAGTACAATGTAAGCCAGATAGGAGATAATCCGATGTCGGGTCAATGGATAACAATGCCAGTCTGAATCAGTAACTTGTATAGTCATGCAATTGTTCATCTCCTGTGCAGCCAAGTTTTATGGTGATGCCAATGTTCTAGCATCGCCAAGTTTACAAGTTCATGTCCCTAACTGATGATCTCCCGCGGCCAAGAAAACGTGCTTTTAACGACGTGCATCTCGTCCCTTTCTATCAATTTTTATGGAATTTTGGATGAGATCAACGATTTTGACAAGCAGAATTGGACCCCTTGATCATCTTCCCCAGACCCAATTGTACATACCGTTGAATGTCATTGCGTGAGGTCCACCAAACACCACTGACACCTGTGACATCCACTGTAGCGAACATCGCATTTGTTTTCGCTTGCAAGAGAAAACTCTGAACCTTATTCCTGTACACTGTTACTTGTAGGTAGTCTCCACGTCAATTAAACAACGACTCTTCTTCCAAGGCAGAATTTGTCACCAACAACTTCAGAACCACATATTCTACGTCTTCTCCACGTAAACTGGAACCTCGTTCACGCATTGAGCTGTTTGTCCGCTCCTCATGAGGACATGATCTTCAGTTGCCCAACCCCGACCTTTGAGGCCCGATATTTTTCGTGCAATCCCCAGGTTCCTGTTTTTTTTCGCCATTTTTTTTTTAGACGAGACTTGGGGAAGACCCTTTGACCGTCATCCACATGAAGCATCAATTATAAACCACCAAAGACACATTCAGTGTGATGATTGTTTATCGTATAACTTCACGTGTAGAGCCTCGGTTTATCATGCTTAATCGCTAGCACCATCGTGGACATATCCCCTGAACCAATGACGTCTCTGCCGCTCTGATGATCGCCACGACAAGGGTTCCGGGACCAAATAGAACGTTTCATCCGCTAACACTTCCCTTCTAGCACTAGGTAAAAAAACATGCCGTTTTCTCAGGCGCCTTTGCCGCCTTGCACTTGACGTCACGGTTTTGTCTGTTTTCAGTAACACCGAGGTTTGCCTTGGCAGATCCGAAGGAGTCGGAAGACGGCATCTGCTGTGTGTGTGTGCCCTGTAAGGCAGCGCCTGAGACTCACAGTGGTTTTTAGTGTTCTTGGTGGTTTTAGTGGTGAGTTACAGTGGCCGCCTTGTGAACGACTCAGGCGTGGGGATCTCCAGTATTCCTTCGGTCCACCCACTGTGACACTCTATGTCTTGAAGGGACCTTTTCTCGTTCTTTGACCAACTTTTCGACTTCTTTCAAGGATGATCGTCACTTCCAACGCGTGGAGATAGTGGACCGTACGTGGAGAAGTGGTAATACATTCACTTCAGAATTTTCGCATCCCAGACTCCCTCCCACTTACACTACACTTAAACTCTAGTCGCTCGCTCTGCTCACTCAACATATAAACCCTCTCGTCTCCCCCAATGCCTCCCTCACCAAGCTC